TCTCTCTTTTAACGGCTTTTCAGTGAGATGCTTCATGGACGTTATGTGTATAAATTGTATTTACATATCTCTAGTTGAGTGTATGGACGTCCTTCCTTACTCGCTTAACATCTCTCTCAATAAGCGTTTACTTTTAATCAGTCCGCTTATGCACGAACTTTTTTCACATAACTCGCGTGGCCTCGATTTTTTGCGTGCATTTCATCGCTGCAGTCCATGTGCCAATTTTGTATGGTGAAACAACTGTCGATTTCCCAGATGAAATTACTCTATTCTTGTCATTCAAAACACTGCAAACTAAAAGTTTCTTTTCCAAACATATTCTTATTATCATGACAATTAGCTTGCGAGCTTTTCATGTACACTAAAGGCAGTTCTGGCCTAAGAAAAACTTGATTTATCTCTATATTTGCATGGAAAATATAATGTATAATACCCAGCAACATTTTATTGCACCTGTATGTGGGTGTGGGCGACCATACTACTAACAGTTGGTTTCAAACATTTGAAAGAGACAGGTGCCGTTGGAGAGAGCCAGCAAAAGCTCTATTCTCCTCATAATCCCTTCTCTTATTTCGTTGATAAATAACAATGCTCTTATATACTCGCGCGCATCTACATAACAATGTTTAACCGTGAAAACAAAGCACTTCATTCGTCCGACTCTTCCTCCAACATATCCATTCAGTAATTAGTTCTCTGTGTCAACGAGCTTTTTTGGCAATAAAAGATTCTGTACCTTTCGTTACGCATTATAGATCACTGCGACATAAACGGTCGACAATATAAATAGTCGCGCAGGCCTATCTTTCTCGTAAGATGAGTCTTTGGGCACGAGCGTAAAGCTCACGGTAATATTCACGGCTCACTTTTCGTTATTATCGAATAAATCAAAAAGTTATTTGAGAAAAAGCACTAGCGTTGCTACCGCTGCTTTGTTAGTTATTCTTTTCTCTTGTGCTACTGCATCTACTGCCGCCGCCGCTGCTGCTGCTGCTTCGTTCTCTGTTGTCTTCGCTCGCTCGCGCGTATGCTTTTACATATTCATCGCCCCAATTTTTTATCCTTTCTTTCACTTCAGCTACCTACGCCTCTTATCCTCTTTTTGCTCTACAACTACAGAAGCTACTACTATTACAACTACTGCTACTCGTGCTAACGACGTTTTTCGTGTTGGCACTGCTGAATAAGAAAAAGTAAAGGGATAGAACTACCCGGTAAATTCATAAAAACTTCTAAGCATCGCCTTCGGATATTATACTACACGTACCACATAAATTCGGATTCTATTAAATAAATATTGCTCCTTCCACATTAAATATGCATTAAAATTTTCTTCTTCTAATTAACAAAAACGAATGAAAAGTCGAGAAGACACGGAGAAAAATGTTAAAGAAACGCGATGATTTCTATTTTCTAAAATATATTTTTAATCGATTATAAAGTATGTGAACAGTTACTTTGCTATAATTTTGCGGTTAAACTAAAAATTCAAAGCCGAAAAATAATTATGTTATGAGATGGACATGAATATGGATTTTAAATAAACCTAAAGAAAGCGCGAAATAAAGAGGTAACTAACGCAACGAGCTAAATAAAGCAGAGCTCTTTTCATTGATGTGTTTTCTCTCCCCTGTTCTTATCACAATATCTCTGCAAGTGCATACAGCTATATATATTCATACAACGTTCAAGTATATACTTATATAGTTTTAGCGTGCGAGCGAATATAGACCTGCACTATATGCTAAAAGGTTCGCGCAGAAAGCTTTGGTCACTATGCGAATGCGAGTCTAACGAAAGCTAGCCCAGATAGTCTTTCTGGGACGTACAGAGATGTACACGTTACTATCTTCCTTTACATCGTGTACGTATTTAGGTATATTATATGTGAGTATGCGCAAGGGTGAGTGTCAATGGCTGCATCAGTACGTGTGAGAAAACCATACACTCACTCGCGTGAAATAAAAAAGAAAAAAAAGCGTATTCTTATGTAAGTTAGTCTATTGGCGTGCTTGCGAGCACTAACCCTAAATATTAAGGTGGCTTTACGTTCTCTGCCGGCTACTGTTGCTGTGAATTATACATTGCATTAAAACATCAGATTCCTAAGCAAACTATACATTTCAAGTAGAAATATATAATTCGAACACGTATGTAAAATAAATAAAGAGGCTCTATTTATGTATAACTGTTGCAATCACCAGATTATCTGCAAATAATTGATGTTATAGTTGAAGATAAATAGACAATTTTAGTATGAAGATATTAATATAAGGATTCACTATTGTTTATGAAAAAAGATTTTTGGGTGCATAAATTTAACAATACCACCGTAATTACTCTAATTAATAACATTTACAAAGATTTAGTCAAAATTAAAATTTAATTAATTTAAATATAAAATATAATGACAGCACGTCATGGAGAATAAATATTGAGTTTCTTATGTTCAGTACAAATTTTTCATTATTTCAAAAAAAAAAAAAAAAAAAAAAATTACATAGACGAGAGCGCGCNAAAAAAAAAAAAAAAAAAAAATACGCGAAGAAAGAAAATTCTTTTACCATTAAGTGAACAATTTTTTGTGCTAGTACAATAACTAGGAGAGAGTAAAAAAATAGTTGCAAAGTGAACAGAATATTCGAAGTAGATGCACAGTTTAAAGCACATACAAGTAGTATATATCACGGTTATGCCAGACACGAGCTTTTACCCTAACAATCGTACTATATAAAGCGATTATTGTAAATGCTCGTTGCTTTATGTGTAATTCTGAACGCTAGTTTCACCTTACACTCTTGATAGTTTTGGGGGCGCTACATATGCCTTCAAAAGTGACTATGTATATGGACGAGTTTGGGTGAAGTTTTTATGGAAATATTTTTCGGAAAGTATCTAAATATTCATCGCGTAGGATGCGCGTTTATCGATGTACGATAATCGTGTTTTCAAAAAGTTTCCCCGACAATGAAGGCCAAACTAGCTTGAGAAGTAGACTAAAAAACAACACATGCATTTTAAAAGTTTCGCGTTTTCTGCAGTATTGATGTTATCTCAAGCTTTTATTATTGGATAGTACATGATTTTACTTTGCACACATGAGGTTATAAGTACTTATAAACATACATTTTTGTTAAATATTACATGAAATAAAAAAAACCTATTATTAAAATACAGCTCAAGATATAAATAATCAAGGTTTCACAACTTCTTTAAGATTAAATCTACGTAAATAGTATTAACGATGATTATCCGAAAAAGCGAATGAAATTTTTGAGGCTCATTTTAAAATATAGTCGAAATTTCAATAATCGTTATGAAATCTCTGAATAAATTATAAAAGAAGACAAGATAGTAGAATATTTAGTAAAATTCTTTCAACTCCCAATTAATTATAAGCTATTTTAACTCTGAAACCAATTGAGATTATAATTGCAGGTCTTTCTTTAAATCATCATTTACCATGATCTCCATGAAATCTTTCGCATAACAAATAAGACAACCCTCTGCTACTAGATGGCGACTATCTTCTTTCGTAAATCTGCAAGTGGAATAGTTAAAATAATCGCATAAGTTACGAATAGTGAAAATAATAGTATAAGATACGAATTTTTTTAAGTCTTAATTTGAATAAAAAAAAATGTTGTGTAGCATCATTATATGATCATGAAATATTGAGCGTTTTACCAGGAACTTGGTTATTTTAGTTTAATACACATTTTTTGGTGATTATCTTTTAGAACATACTGAAGCCATGATTAAAATAAAAATTTTCAAAAAGGGTTTTCAGGAAATCCGTTGAATGTACTCGGAGGAATTGAGTGTGTGTCTTTATTGTGTAATTTTCTAGACATTCACAGTTTTTACGAAAGATAATCAGGATAAATCCCGGCAAAGTTATTTAAAAATATAAGTTTAACCTTGGTTGGTATTTCTTTATGGCCACATTGTACAATGTCAATGAATGATTAAAATTTAATGTTTGTCCAGAAAGTATTTATCACTACTAGCTTTTCATGACATTATATCTTTACATAGAAGGTAAACCGCGCAATTGTGATCCTGAATACGAGATTATATGATTATTATGGCTTTAGAAGCTGCACAAGGTGTAATATAAAAAATAAGAATTCGCATTCTAAAAGCCACGAAAAAAAGTCAGTCGTATAATAGACGGATGAGCAAAAGCAGTGGATTTCTGTAGAAAAATAATCTACCTATCGAATTGACTCCCTTTTTTTCTATCCGTCTTATATATCTTCTTTCCTAGTGCTTATCGATCGCCGCAAAATGGCTTCTCGTTACAATCTAAATTTATTCGCATTCAAAAGTATAAAAGTTTATATGTTTACAGGAGCGTCTTGTAGAGTATTGATAAAATTCCATTCCAAGCATTGTTATACACAGACAAGTGTTAAGGGATTTGGAGTTCAAATGTACTATGTGAAATGTAAGGGCGTGTCTGTGTGTGGCCTATGCCTTACGTTGCGAAACTTTCTTTGCACTGATATAATAGTAACTTGAAAATTTCACATCTCTAAAATACTCAATATCTTTTGGGTGTAATTTTTCCTTATTTACAGTTCATTTACATCAGTATGCAAATATTTTACGTGCCAGGTCTTGGAATAACTTTTCTATTCGTTAATACTTTGTTTTTCGGCAAATATTTAATTTTACATAATTTAGGTGGCTTTGAAATTGACTTGAAAATAAACTTCGATTTCAGCATAAACTTGATATCTCAGAATTTTAATTTCCTGTACTTTGGTATTTTACTAGTAATTATGACCGTGGATGCACAAATGCGTAATTTATGAAAAGATAATTGTATTTTAAAAATTCCCACGCTCGAATCAAATTAACTACACGTACATGCCTAGTAGGAGGCCGATGACTTTTTGAATACTTCATAAATGAATTATACTTGAAATCAGACATGTATCTTTTTAAATCAGAGTTCATTTGTGCAGTAATAAATATATCATATTTTGCAGGGTCGATGTACGAGGAAAACCCATTACCGAAGCTCGTCACCAATCGACGCTTTTTGGTCAAAGAGCTTATTTTAGGACGTCAATTCAAGAGCCAGCGGTTTTGGTGCTGGACGATATCAAAAGGCACGACGCTGCCGTGTATAGATGTAGGGTGGATTTTCATCGAGGACAATCCAGAAGTGTTCGATATAATCTTACTGTTATTGGTAAGCGGATTTTTGCATTATTAAGGGGGGGGTAGGGTCTTGTTCGATGGTTTTCGAGCTGCATTTCAATAATTTTTTTTAAGCACATAGTAAAATGAATTTAACGATAAATTATATACATTATACATGGTTATTTGAAGAACATTTAGTTAAATTTTCAGCTGAAAATAGTGAAAAATAAGCTAACTACAGCAAATTTTCTCACAAAACTGAAAAAAAAACGATCGATTGCGGTGGACACTGTAACTGAACATCTACTCGACCGATTCTTTCCAAAATTTTCTCACTATTTATCTAAATAAATTATGAGGTAATGACGTCGAGATATTTCGTTTAAAATGATTTTTGAGTTTTTGGCATCATTTTGAAGTGAAAAAAAATGACTTTTTTGACAAAATGAAGGCAAAAATTCATCGTACTTGTTCGTAAAAAGCATTAAAAAATATAAAAATTTAAAATATCTCGACGTCATTACCTCATATATCATCTACTTAAATAGTGTATAAAATATGAAGTTGATCGGTCGAGTAGATTTTGAGTGATGGTGTCCACCGGATTTTTTTTACGTTGCATGTGAAAATTTGCTGTAGCGACCTTATTTTTCAGTATTTTAGGCTGAAAATTTAACTGAATATTCTTCAAATAACTATTAATTATGTGTATGATTTATAGATCAATTCGATTTACTATATGTTCAAAATAAAAAAAAAAAAATTTTTTTTTTGAAATTCAGTCAAGACCCTACCCCCCCCTTAATTATTATGATAACACCGCTTCAGTCGGCGTCAAACAATAAACTATTTATTCTTATTTTTATTTATGAATGATAATAAAATAAGTCAGTTACCGTAGAGCTTCCTCTGATAGAAAGCAAAGTACTTGATTCCAAAGGAGAGCAAAAAAGCACGACTCATCATTTTAGATACATAATCTTTTTTTTTCTCGACACTCATACTTTGCACCTGCTACGTAATTGCTCGTCGCACGTATGTACACGTATATAGATGATTTCGAAGCCCATTTCGCTAAGATATATGTACGCGTTAGCGTCGCTAAACGCTTGACTGCTTCTTTTTTTCCCCGCAACCGATCGAAGTCAGTAACAGCACATAAATCGTTTCACGTGCCAAATTGTAACGCTACGGCAGTTATGGGAGATCTTTACGCTTTAGACTGGTTATGATGTTGCGGAAGATGGATATTTTCGATATCATATTTTGCGTCGTTATATTTTTTTTGTTGGAATTACATTATCAACTTCCAATACGATTAGGATTGTGCTCAATGTAAGTCTGATTATCGTATTTCATGTCCATCGATTATTATTTTAATCGTATACGTTTTTTATCCTTTTATACGAAAATGGGAATGTTAATTTGAAACCTCATTATGTCTTGCATTAATTATTCAGCAAATGACGATCCCTTAATTCGCTTCAGTACGAAGTAATGAGATACACATTTTTGTAATTCGTATATTTGACTTTCAATTTAAGCTGCCAAAGAGAGAGAGAGAGAGAGCTGATAACGATCTCGTTATAGAAATGCGCGCTATCGAAGAGTAGATTTCATATTGCAATTTATTATCGATGAAAATTTCGCCCAAAATGACAAAAAAGGTATCGATGTAAAATACGACGACGCATGGTTGGAAAAAGCTATATATACACGAGCCTCCGCGGGGGCAATATGATATATGCACTAAAAGCCCATAACTAGTTGGCAAGTTATACGGAACGGTGTCACAATATAGATCTAAAACCAATTATCTATCTAAATTGAATTTGACAATTACACGCGCAGCGCACGCATATACACACATACACAGCCATTGGACATGGCTATAGCCGAATCCAAAGTGTTCCGCGTTAAACATAAGAGAGCTATCTGCATAACTACTCGCGTACATAGTTCAAGGGTCAGAGACGAGGGTGGAGCCGCGGGGGTGGCGGCGGCAGTAAAGTGAAGGTGCAAAACTACATAATCGCCATTTATAATACGCGAGTGCGCGCGTGGAGCCCAACATATGTGCAGCTACTGTCACGCTATACATACATGCAGTCGCGAGGCCCTTCTTTATGAATTACTCGTCTACGAGAGTAACGAGTTGAGCATTGCAGCAGCAGCAGAAGCAGTGCAGTGGTGCCAGCGGAGCTTCTTCCTTTCTCTCTCTCTCTCTCTCTCTCACTTTGGCTTACCACAAAGTAAAGCATACGAGCGTATACAAACACGCGCGCATACACGCATGCAACAGCGGCGGCGTTGGTGCACTGCAAGGAGAACGTGACACTCACAGCTTAGTTGGCTGCATAGAGTAGGTAGTGCACTGCACGCTATGCAGCATATGATAAAGCGTAGGCATGCGCGCACGCTTGCGTTTGTGTGTGTGTATATGCGTATACGCCTCGCAGCTGGCACTAACTGAACGAATTATTTCGAGGATATAATTCGAAGTCTCGCTCGCGGCAACGACACCGACAACGACGACGACGACGACGACGACGACGACAACGACGACGACAACGAGTCTCTAGCCGCAACGAGCTACGAAGCGTACCTGACTCGTCGTCGTGCGTTCGCTGCAAATTAACCTTACACGCGTGTGCACGCGTATATGCGCAAGCAAACGAGCTGTATGCACCTATCTGTGTGTGCATACGCGTGTGTATATATGTGCGCGTGCGAGGCGTATCGGTAAAATAAGCGCATAAATTATAACGAGCATAATAGTGCGACGAGGCAACAACAGCAGCAGCGTGGCGATGAACAGCGTAGCCCTGAGCTCGGCTATGCGCGTTATAAACTCGCACAAGGGTGCAGAGATGCAAGCGCGTACACGTATATGAGGAGGCATATAATTTCTCTTGCGACTTGAAACGTAAATGCAGCGTAGCAGGGTTAGCCCCTCTGGCTCGAAATAGACGGCAACAATAACAACGATGTACGAACCGGCGTAAGCGGAGCCCCGACCTCGCTGTGTTTACATTTTGATCGGTTGCAGAATTAAACGCCTTATAGTGTGGGAAGCGTAGAAGAGAGGCGCACGCACCACCTCTCTATGTACACGATACAAGACAAAAGCGCCAAACACAGCGATTGCACAAAATTGCCTCGTGTGCATAGACAGGCGCGCGCTGCGCACAATACCTTCGCAACGTGTAGTAGTAGCACGTCGATAGACGTTAGCACACGCGTTGCTCTCTCCCTCTGCGCGAGCGAGTGCATTCGCCAACCATAAATATTTCGATATTGAATTCTAGTGGTTTTTCATTTTCACGTAATTGCAGTCTCGTTATTCAGTCGCCGGGGGCGGCTGTGAAAACGACGCTCTCTCTCTCTCTCTCTCTCTCTCGCTTGCACAAGAGAGCGATGTGTATACCTATACGTATCTATATGTATACAAGCCCGACCCGAGAGAACAGAGAAGCACAGGATGCAAAATGCCGCATCGAAAAGCCCTTTGTAAGATATTGCCGCACGCAGTACAGCGACGCTTAGAGTGGAGTCTCGACAGTTTCTGAAAAATATTAATAAGTCGAGACTTCGATGATGAAAGCGCCACCCTCGATGTATACCAACCTACATACATTATGTATATATCTATATAGCGCAAACCTTTTGATTCGATATTATAATGTATACATAATTACAATAGCTGTTGGTGTTAAGGACTCGAGGGGTGTAAAGCCATCGCGGCGGGGCTACTGCTTCGCCGATGCCGCCCATACCCGCATTATTAATTTTTAATAAACTTTTAAACTACTTGGCTAAATATTGCTCTTTTGTTTTTCCTCGGCCGATCGTAAATTCTCAATTCATAACGGAAATACTTCTCCGATTCATCCGATCTGAAAGCCTTTTGGACGGAAAATATAATTCATTTTCTCTCTAAAGTTTATACCAAATTACGATCAAACTAAGTCATCGAATGCAATACTTCAAGAAATTCGCTATTCTTATTTATGACTTACTTTAAGTGCAATAACGTTCATTTTTCTAGATAGATCTTGACACAGTCGAACACGACTCTTGAATAGCATATAATTCGCCATATAATTTTCTTCAACTAAATCATCAAAATTGAGTTTCGTTCTCTCCTCTACCTCTTCTTTAGCTCTTTTTAAAGAAACCAAGGGCAATTTGTATCTCTAAAAATGACAAACTGAATTTCATTTGTACCTCTTGCGCTTGTAGCGGCAGCAATTGATGTGCGTACACACTCGAGACGATCGAACTTTCAACGTGGACACAGTAAAAAAAAGTACAAGCATTTCTGTGAAAAAAGACTGATGGCTATTCGGCGAATGGTCGAAAAGTAAAATTGGGTGCTAGACGTGGCCAAGGATTTTAATATTTCTACCCATGCATCTTGGCTTCGACTGAAAGGGTAAAAGTAGAAATAAAAATCTGAAAGTTACTCGATAAAACTATGGTATAGTAGCAGCTCGCGTAAGAATAAGATGATATAGTTCGCCTACTGACTTCCAATAGCTTGAAAATATTTTATTCTAGAATGGCTCCGTATAACTCAACAAAAAATATCAGTTAAATATCCGATTGTAAAGTACTTTTTACATTTTAAAATATTTCCAAATAAATTAGTTGAATTCAACTCTATATGAAAATTTTGTGTGGTCATATTTTCTATACTAATATCAAGTAGATAAATCATTTCAAAACTGAAATTGCGAACTTTAGGCTGGGTGCACACAGAGAAGCCATCTATGTTTTTAAAGTTATTTTAAACTCTTACATGAAACTTTTTCTATTGTTGGTGCAGAAAATTAACTACATAATAAAAATGGGAAAAAATATATTTATGAAGCCTAGAAGCTCGGGCAAAGACAAAATTTAAAAAACTACAAAATAAAGTCAATATTTCTTGCGTACTAAACCATTTATGTTTCGACTGAAAGTGAATATGTGTGTAGTAATACTGACTACACAACGACTAAAGATTCTGCTCAAAACTTCCCGGACCAATGTGGCAATAGTCGCTAAACATAGCAAACGGACGCATTCAGACATAACATTTTCGATTTACACTGAGCCATATCAATCGGCATAAGAGTAAGTTTTATTGAGTTTAGTCATGTGAAGCTCTATGCATATGATTTGTTTTATAATCGATGATTATTTTGAGCCAAGGGTTGTAGCATTATTTTTTATTCACTATTTTCTTGGTGGCTGTGTGAATACACGTGCTCTAGTATATTAAATATTTTTCCTATTTTCAACTTTTATAACCTCGCTGCATTATGTATTGTGTTCCGGCAAAAACTGCACTACCTTAATAAAATTGCTATCATCTGCGAGGAAGAAAGAGAAAGAGAGAGAGAGAGAGAGAGAGAGAGAGAGAGAGAGAGAGAGAGAGAGAGAGAGAGAGAGAGAGAAAGAGAGAAAGCGAAAAAAGAGGGGGTAGCATAATCAGCTAAGGATAATCAAGCGCCAATAACAATTACCTAAATGAATGTCTTTCCTTTTGTATAGAGTGTAGTTTTAATCTAAAAATATTTAGCATACAAATGGATTTTCGTGATAACGTGTATACACTCACAAGCATGAGAATCTTGCAGTTGAGAAGAAGGAAAGAAAGTTCTTTATTCGACGGATGTTTACTTCGTACTAATATTAAGAAAATTGTAAGGTATTATCAATTTAATAAAAGCAGCTCTGTTTATTGAACATTTGAATAACAATTGTTTCATGAACAATTTAGACAATGCTTTCCTTTAGTGTTATCTCAAATCAGTTTATTTACGCATTTTTTCATATAAATAATGCACTTTTATATGAGACTAAATGAAAAGCTCAATGATTTAAGGTATATCGAAATGCGTCGTGTTAACCACATTTTTGAATGTTTTGTCATTAAAACACGCTTGTTGACTTGATATTTGAACTTGGTGTGAAACCAATGTTTTGGATTGAATCTTTTATATTTTGAAACCCAGTTTCAAAATTAAATATGTTACTTAAAAACTCACAAATGTTAACCATATTTAGTCAATTAAAAAACGGATTTACACCAAGTGTTGTTTCCATATTTCGATGCCGCTAGAAAATTGTTTACAACAAAATTTTAAACTGTAAATATTTGTACACTAAAAATAAACTTTTAATTTTTTTAACACTAAGAATATAAAATAACTAAGGTCAATAATTAAAATTTAGGAATTGATTGGCAATTCACTCAACTTTAATCGTACCGAACGCACTAGACCTCGCAGTAGACTGTAAAAACTCGAAACGGTAAAATCGATTAATTACAAACTCTCTTCACGCCCACAAAACAATCTATGCTCTAATTTGCCCTACGATTCTAAAGTCAAGTACCTAAAAATCCTTACTGCAACCTGATTTCTCTTATAGCAATTGAATTATGATTTAAGATAATATTGCTTGATTACCGACTTCTAGATTTTTTTAATCTAAATTTTTATAGCTTCAGGCAAATTTTCATAAATTTCAATTAACTATATCTGGCCTTTCGGGATCGATAATTTTTCTCATGAACGAACTCCATTGATATGAAATATTTAACAATGAGTTGATTAAAATTAACTCTCGATTCGGGAAAACTCTCTTTTCAATCAATGCCAAAATGTGAAAAATGTTGGCATTTATGTTCAACGTTCTTTTCGAGCAATTGAATAATCAAAATTCATCGTTTCGATCGTGCCGACAAAGGCGTAGCAAGAATTGAAAAAAAGAAGTAAATAAAAAATATATATGTTGAACTTTCTTTCTTTTACCCTTTGGAGAGCTTGACATGAAAATCGTAGCAAATCGAGTGAAATGGAAAAAGAAAAATAAAAGCGTCGGGACGCTGTGTGGTTTTAACCACGATTCGTTAGTGCATTCTTTCCAAGTTTTCCGAAGAACGACCGTTTGGCTTGCTCCGGCTGCGCTGACCATCGAGTGGTGGCTTTAAAATTAACTTAATTAGAATTGCCGTCCTCGACGCAGCAGTGCCGGGCAGCTGTAAGAAGAACAATGGAAACGTATGATATTGCCTATATATATAGAGATACATGTACGTCTATGTATATATATGTATGATGACACCACGCTTAACGCTCAGCCGCGTTGTTCAAGTCTGTCGTCGTTGCGTCCCTGAAATTATCAGTCGTTTGAGCATAGGACCCATTGATCATCTCTTTGTTTAATTGACATCCTGAGTGTCGAGTGGCTCTATCCCTTTCTTCTTCCCCTTGCCAGCTCTCTACTGCTTCCTTGCTACCTCTCTCCTTTTGCTTTCACTCACACATTTCACGATATTTCGTGCAACGCATTCGACCATTGACATGAAGCGTTACGGATTTTAAAAAGATCGACCAAAACTACATTCACAGCAATGCTTTTATTATCAAAAATTATTAATCCTTGTTTATAAAAAATCAATGCTTATAAATACCGGACTATACGATTAGTTTGGTTCCATGGGTTTGATAGACTATTTTAAAAAGTATTATTTTATATTTGAAAATCTTTATCATTTTACCAAAAAGCAGTATTCAGATCGATTAAGGAATACGTAAAATTTAAATGGTCCCTGTATCCCATTGGATCATTCTAAGGAAGAAGAGGGGCTACGTTACTAGATACCGGGAGACCCCAAAAAATTGTTGGTAGCAGGTGAAATGGTCTTCTTGTTAGTAATAAGCTATTCTATATGATTATTATTCAAAATTGCTTAAATTGAAGTTAATTCTGCAGAATTGCATAAAAAGTGCATGAAGTGCATCGAAGGGCACGCAGATGCATCGACCAAAAGTATCTAAGCCTCGTAGGTATAGGTGGTGTAGCAAAATAATAATACTAGACGAGACTCGGGCAGAGCGTATATATTTAGCAAAAAGTCAAAAATTCATGTGCATCGGCCGGGAATCGAACCCGGATCGCCCGCGTGGCAGGCGAGCATTCTACCATTGAACCACCGATGCTTCTTGGAAGATGATAACGTATCGACAAATTTGAAGTATTTTGAACATTTCCAGTAAATACCTTTCGTTTATTTTTTATTAAAAGCTCATCTAGACAGCAATTATAAAAATATTGTATACCATGATAGAAATAATTAAAAGTACTTTTGCATAATTGCATAAAAAATGCATCAAAGTGCATTCTGCTCGAATATGTAGAAACCATTTATATGAATTTTCATGTATGAGAAAAAAAACACTAAAATTTCGAAATGTATGTTGGCTAATTGCATAAAAAATGCATACGATTGCACAAGCAACTTAAAAAAATAAATTGTTGGAACAAAAAGTCGTATAAAATTGTAATTGCCACTAGTATACTTTGATATATAAAATTAAGTTAATTGGTATACAATTCAGTGAAAAATAATCGCGATGCCAAAAGGATTAGGTCATTGTTAATTATTTAGCTCACTTTGCCGAAATTTATATATTTCCGAGTGCATAACAATCATTTATCATCGGAGCTTCAAAGTTGCGCCCAATACATTACCCGAAAGCTCACATGTTCGCTCGGGATCTGGACAATATATCGCCTTGGTTGGTACGTCATGCGACTCGACGCGCGCCTACAACTAATAAAGCATCGCCAACACATATAGGAAGCGTCAATCTCTATGAGAGCCCATATACTGCATCGGATCCCGCATATGTGCATAAGCCTCGCTACTGCCACGCGCTCGTCGATTAGCATCTTGTAAGCGGGTCAGATCGATCTTGTACCAGCTCTCCAGGCTGGTTTTCGCCTTGCTCGCGTCCATGTGTCTATGTGCGCGAGTGTGTGGCGTGCGCGCGTGTGTGTATGCGAGTGGCTGAGTGTGCTAGTGCGAGCTCATGTGAATACTAAATCTACATGTCTGTGTATGCGTTCATCTACGTACGTGTAACTCGCTCATATAATATCCCTGTGTGAATATGTATGCGTGTAAACGTAATTGTGTGCAGACGACGTGATTTAATTTAACGATAAGCTACGGCCAATTTAAGCTACTTCCGTTGGTCACTGCCTATGTTCTCTCCTCCTCGTCCTTTCTTTCTCTCATCTTTTTCGCTTTTCGTGTTTTCGAGCTACTCTCTTGATTGTACTCTCTGCGCTCCTGGGTTCTCGTGCAATAATACCGCGAATGAAATACAGAAGAGTGAATTTTTTTTTATGCAATATTCACAACCATATCATTTGATCGCAATATTCAGATGTATTGACTGATGTTATTGTATTTTTCTAGTTCCACCAGAACAGCCACAAATTTTTGATAAATGGGGCCGGACGATGAACGGAACGTCGTCGCCGTACGAGGAAGGAGAAACTCTTTCCCTTACTTGTCACGTAACTGGTGGTAAGTATTTATTTTACAATAAACATTAAATAATATATGATATTTGTAGCCCTATCCTTTCCCCATCTATTAGATTAATTGAAATGAGTTTTAAGAGAACTAGTTCTAATATTACACGACTTACATGCACATACAAACAAGAAGGGACTATAACTTTAGTAATTTCAACTTTTACTTCTAATGAAGTTTCAATCATACTCTCATATCCTCGGCTTATTATATAGTGTGACATAATATGCCTAAGTGAAAAGTTTCATTCCCATTCTGATTTCTCATCCCTGCCTCGTTTGGCGAGCATCGAAGTATATAACGAGGGAGGTAGACTAAGAAGAAGCAGAAGAAGACAAGTGTCAACGTTCTGAATTGAGAAATACCGAGTCGAAAACACTGTTCCCCGTAGTTTTCCGCTGTTTACTTAAGCAAGTAGGATCCAAATTTCTGTTTATAAACCACCGCAACTTTCACAACTCGCCTTGAAAGATTATTTCTTCCTCTCTGCTATTTGTATTTCTTTCTTTTCGACATTTACTCTTTCATTTGTTTCTCGCTATGTCACTTAAAACTTGGTTTTTCCCCTATATCCACTATCGCTGGATTTTTCTTTTTTAGTATAATTTATCTTTATCTACATTATGCAAAAATTAAACTTGGTCAGGGTGCAAAAATTCGAGGATAGTGCACATTCAATTGAGACTGTCCAATAAAGTGCATGACCAAGTTTGATTAACATACGGGGTGACAGCTTCATTTGGCTCCTAAGGTTGAATTTACAAGCTAAGCACCGACGCTAGTCATTCAACGCGCTGCACTGTACATAATTATTCTCATTCGTACTTTTGTACAAGCAACTGGAAGTTTAACAAGCTTCGCTTTGACTGTGCGCGTACTAGAGTTCGCATGGTTCCTTCGTCGTTCCTTTGCTTCGCCTCCCAGTCACATAGTCATCTTCTGCTTTCCCCTTTTCCTCTTTTTCTTCTTCTTCTTCTTCTTCGTCGTCGTCGTCGTGATCTTGGCCGTTTTCATTCCGAGTGGTCTGCGCGCGACGCGGCAAGCTCTTCAAGCTTTTTTAAAGCTCGCGTACAGTTTAATCTGCAAGATTTTGCGCAAGCACTAAGCTCCTATCTCGTTCTACTAGAGTTGAGAAGGTCATCATTTTGCCTAAATATATAGATATAAGTACAAAGATAAATTAAAATTGACACCACGATTATTTTTCTTTTTACGATTTTAATGTAGGAAATAAATTACCTCACTATTCCCTTTTTCGAGCGAAGGAGAAAATATTATAATTTAAATGTTTGATAATTTGTAAGTTTGAATGCTTTTTCAAATACTTAAAATAGTAAACAGTATCTAAAAGTATAATCCATTGCTAAGATCTGCTAAAAGAATTCTCTTATAACTAAAACGAAAAACATTTAAGGTTTAAATGAGCATGTCATATTTGAATGTAAATACACACGTATCTTTCATTTATTTCACGTGCTCAACGCACCTCCTTTTTCTTCGTTGCAAGCGTGGCGCCCGCGCTAAGATATAACACAAGGCAACTACCGCTCGGCGAGCTTCATCTAATTAAGTATGCGGAGCTGGGTAAACTTTTCTCTTAATTAAAGATCGAGCGGCAAAATTTACGGACTGGTAAGGGAACACACGTACCCCTCCCCCCCCCCCCNCCCCCCTCCCACGCACGAAGATGCACACAAAGATATGCGAGACTAGTATGTGTATAAAGACATTCATCAAGTCGCGTCGAGGCTTTGTGTAGCCTCTTCTTCGTATGTACTGACTTATCGAAAGTTACTTTCATTTATTTGAATTATTTATTTGAACTGCACATAATTAAAGGGGGAAGGAGATAGTTAAACTAAGTCGATGAAATGAAAGTTATCCAGCTGAAGTTAGAGTTAGGCAAAGATCGGAAAACAAAATTATTCCAACTTGTCGGAAAAAATTAAAACTTTTTCTCATGATGGTATTTCTAGTTCTCTCCCTCTTCCCCTCTGTTACTTTTTTTGGCATACTTTCTTTCAAGTACGAATCAGAGCAGTAGTAGCAGCAGTAGCTCAGCAGAGTCCTTAATTAGAGGGGAATCTCAGCGGACGAAGCGTGAGAAAAATTACAACTCCGTGAGATACCTATTACTTTTACTTACACACGCACAAACACTCTAACACAATCGCACATGCACTTACAGTACGAGTAAAAAGAACGAGAAAATGAAGTTATTTTGTTTCAGCCGAAAAACCCGATGTAATTAAATTTGATTTGGTAAATTGTGTTCCTGATAAGTTAATACTTTTTACATAGCTTCGTGTTCGTAAGAAATATATCTCCAAAATGTTGAACTTAAAATTAATTTATTGTTTTCAAATCTCTTTATGTGTGTTCAAGTGAAAACTATCATTAATTTTTCCAACAATCGTCGTGGCTATTCTATAGCTCATATGGATAAACAAATTTTTTTTTAATTTACATAATCATTTCCTTTGCTGAGTTTAGGAATTTTAAAACGTTTCAATTAAAAAAAAATTGATAGAATAACACACATTTTTACTGTAGCCCTGGTAGAAATTTTAAAATTCTGAAGGAAACTCTTACGCAAGTTAATCATATTTCGCATGATTTATACAATTATCGTGACTTTGTTACTTGGAGATTTACAAATGAATTGGTACTCGCCATCTAGTGGTGGAATGTGAAAGTGGTATTATCGTATTTTGAAAATTGATCTAAATTTTTTGAAACAATACAGATTTTCATAATCGGGTTATTCAAACAAAATAATTTATGGTGATGTATTTTGGAAGTACTTGAAATGTTTGGTCATTGCCCTATTATTAATTTTAAACATTCCACTTCAGAGTTTCATTTGTTATAAACTGATTATTCAAAAAAAAAAAAAAAATTAATTATTTTCATGAGAAAAAAATCGTTAATGAGTTCTTGTTCTGTGTGATTTGTACATCAATAGATTTCAAGAAATGATTGTACCTTGCATATTGAAAACACATAATCTGCAGAAACAATGTACGTCTAAATGAATTCGTAAAAAATTTACGGAATTTTCATTTTTACACATGCTCAAAAGGAGACAGAAGAAAAAGCTCGCTCCTCTATTATTTTAAGAATCAAACGATTCATTACTTTTTCCACTTTTACAATAAGCCATTGTCGAGGCATGCATGTGCAGTCGTTCGGTGCACGTATAAGGTATCGATCGCGGGGATATGTATGTACGTATGCGCAGGCAACGTGCACTCAAAAACAATGAAGTCAACTGCAAATGTGTACGCGCACGCATTCAAGCTCTGCTAGCTATGTTAGAACAAAAAAATGCTTAACTGCTTGCGTATACTTCTGGCTGTGTAAGCTCCGGCTGATAAAATACAAAATGAAAAACAAAAGGGGCAAAACTGGCGGCTAGAAAAAAAGGTACAGCAGGCTTGCGGGGGCGTACGCGAACTGCTTGTTGGACTCGAAAGTGAAGATTATTCGAGTAAAAAATAAGTTCAGGAAAAAGAGATAATAAAGATAAGCAGGAGCAAATTTTTTTACGCTTTATATAACGGGATGCGGCGGTGTCGTTGTTAGGCTCTCGCTCGCGCGTATTGTGTCTCCGCACCTTTGCACATTTTTACTTTTATGTATATATCGCAGTTACTGCCGAGGTTCATCTCTTGCCACTACTTTCTTCCGCCTTTTTTCGTCTTGCCTTGCTGTCTTTAAAATCGCAAGCACGTCTCAAAAACAACACCGCCACTACTATTACGATATACTGCTACGACTACAACTACCCTTGCCACCACTGCGAGCACCGCTCGACTACGTAAAGCAAGCGTAAAACAAATTGTCTTTTTAAAATGCAAGTCAAGGAACTCGACGAGTGTTTCTCTATACGTATACATGCAGACATGTATTATAGGTACAATACATATATTTATGTGTGTGTGTGTGTGTATGTGTGTGTATGCGCGTGTTTGTGTGAGAGGATGCATGTTTACGTATGTGTGTGCAGGAAAACTGAGTTAAGTTTCACAAGCCAAGAAGTTGGGTATGTTTGTAGTGGAGTGGGGATAGGGCTTTATGCTCATTGCTACGTACTACCAGTATAGTGGATGTGGAATGACGCGCAACTACGGCGATGACGGCTGTAACGAGCTGAAAATATATCTTGAGTGTAACGAGTATGAAAAAGAATCTCTTCGCGGCGTATACATGTGCACGAGTCATTCAAAAGAAACTGGCAGGACAAATAAGTCGTAAAAAGAAATAAGTTGTACACTACGTCGTATATACACGTGCACGAATATGTGTCGCACGGGAGAAAATAATAGTCTTTTCGTGAAAATATCAGACTGCGAAAAAGCTCATGATAGACAGCTGCGATCTGCTCTACATTCTCTTCTGGCCTTATCATTAATTTTTCGAACGAACAAAAAAAATCTTTCAAGGTATTTTCGTTCGCTAACAGCGTAAAATTACACCAATGAATGAAACTGTGTCAATGCCGGCCCTATCAAAACACTTGTCCCTGGCAAATCAACGAAATGAAGTGGGACTTTCTTCGCCCCGCAGCAAAGTAAGGTTTATTTGGGTAATTATTCCGCTGGTTGCTACTGCAAATGAGACAGTCAACCAAAGCCTTTTACTTGTTCTCTCTCCCTCTCCATCTCTCTCTCTTTTCTAACAATACTCCATGTTACGCGGCCTTCCGGATTCAGTACTTCATTTAGTGGCATGAATTCGCAAGCTCCTATTACTATATGCTGGCGTGTCGCTCTGGCACGACGTTAGGCGTTGAAAAGATTTGTAAAAAGAAAGACAGACAATAAGAAAGTGAAAAGATAATGAATTTAACAAAAATACAGGTACTGCAGTATAATAGATGAGGTTTTCTATGCTTTTAATGATGCACGTAATAGAAAGAAAATATTTGAACTTAATTTTCAGACGTCAAATTATGTGATCCCATTTAAAACAATTCGGGATTCCTTCAA